GAACTTGGATACCCCATACACAAAGCAGTGGCCTGAGATAATCTTTATTTTCCAATATCTGCAACCAATTTATCAAACCAAGAGAGAACGATTAGCTAGGAAATGTCAGACGCCTACAGAGAACTTCTGGAAAGCCAGTGGACAGCAACTCCTCTGCTATGTCTTTAGCCATACAAGAAAACAGACTCGTCACAAAATGCCACCTCTCACTGTCCCTGCCCTGAAGGGGCACGCGGCTGCTGCCCTGTGCACACCCTGCCTCTCTGCTCCTTGCACAGCCCCAGCGTGGGTGCTCTGACCTCCCATCTGCTCCAGAAAATTTTCCGTCGGGTGGGAGAAGGTATTTTGCTCATGTTGTCTCACTGGCTGGAGGCTCCAGTGCCAATCCTCAGGTGTCATCTCTGCAGCACCCGGTAGGGCAAAGAGCAGCATGTAGATAAAGCAGGGATTGAGCAACCTGCTGCTGCAAAGGCCAAGCATGCTGGGTCAGAGGTGAGCAGAAAATAAGCAGAAGGCCAACAAATACCCGAGCATCCCCTTGTCACATGGGAGAAGGGGTGAGGGAGCACTGAGTCAGGGGGAGGACTCTGCTCTGCGACGAAAGAGCCACATGAGGCTGGGAGACGTGGCCAGGGCCCTGCCACGGGGCTGGCGCTGCTGAGCACGAAGGCTGGGGCTTAACGAGAGAGGAGAGGATGTGCCCACAGTTTGCATGTTAAAATGGGAAGAGTCTCAAGTCTGAGAACCAGGGGAGAGGGAAGGAAAGCCAACCTCTTCCTGAGTGAGATGCTGCCCAGATCTGGTGTTTCACAAATTTATACAGTGGAGAGGGCTGGGTGGGAAGCAAGAGACTGATATGCAGGGAGACCTCGTGAGCTGTGCTGGCATAAGGTTTTCAGCTGTATAAAAATGGACCTGGGGCTAGGAAGAACTGAAAGGTAGAGCACAGAAAATGCCTAGAAATAAACTGCCATTTTAGCTCTCTATTTTGCAGCGTTTATCGTAGCAAGACTCCACTTAAGCCAGCCCCTCAGACAAAACCACCTCCTACTCCCCCGGGACCTTCGTACGTGGCCTCCGTGCTCTCCCTGCCCCGGCCCGTGTGCATGGACACTGCTGTCCCCCACGAGTTACACTCTCCTCTCTAACTCACCTCCAACACAGGCTGCAAATCCCCATTCACTGGTGCATGGTGCCAACTTCTGGCATTAACGTCCTCCCTCTTTGCCCCTCTTTGCCTCTGCATGTTGGGTTTTTGGACTGTGGCTCTCTGGCTGAGAGATCCACAAGGCAAATAACACAAGCCTCGTGTTATATATAACAACAAGCACCACAAATTATCACTAGCATTTTTTTTTCTAGCATACAGACCTCAGTCCACAGTTCCTATAAACTCTTCAGTGTACGATGTGTCACTGTGTGTCACTATTAAACTGGAATCTAACAAAGTAATTTGTGGGTGATGCCGTCTCCATCCCCAACTGACTAGTTCTGAAAAAGGAAATCAGGAAGTCGCTAGAAAGCAGCACTTTTCCCCAAATGCTGACTCTGCCGAAGGCTGCTCCGTTGGGAGACCCCTTACAAAAGGGCTCCTGTCCTCAGCCGTTCTGCAGGGCAATACCAGTGCCTGGACCCCTCAGCCAGGAATGTCTCATCCTGGCATCTCAACTCCTACCTAAAGAACCTCTCTATGGAGAAGGCTTTCCAGGAGGATTCCTATTAGCCCACGCACAGCTGGCCAGGTGTGGAGCCTCGGGGACAGGCTGCGGGGAGCTCAGGGGTGCCGGGACACCCTTCACGGTGCACGTCTTGCTCTGCACCTGCTCCCGCTCCCGAAGGCCCCTTTCTGGCCACGCATTCGTTATGACAAGCGCAGAAACAATGTCAAAGAAACCAGAGCCAGCTCCAAAGCGGCTTGCAGAACGCCAGCGTTTGGGATAAGCGGCCAGGCCCACAGCGAGGTTCCCATGAGAAGAGCGGATGCTGCCTCCCCGCGAGTGGCCGCCGGGCCCTGAGGTGAGGCTGGAGGAAGTTTAAAGAGCGGCAGGGAGAGTCGGGAGGCCGGGGGGGACGGGACGGAGGCGACAGGCCGGGCATCCGACCTCAATTACCTTTCTGGCTGACGTGTGATCTCCGTGAGTACGGAATTACTCAGCACCGGCCGGGAAAGGAGGTGTGGGCCCTGCCACCCCGATACAATCTCTTTCACATGATGGTTGCACAGACGTTTTGCCAGGGAAGCTCGGCCCAGGCTCGGGAGCGCGTTTCTGCTGCAGAGCAGGAGGGCATCGGGCAGAAGGCAGCAAATATGAGACCTCCAGGAACATCTCTGGGGCCCAGGAGCGTTACCAGTTCAGTTTAATGTCCAGTTTTAGCTAATGGCAAAGACCAAGGGTGAATTTTGGGGAGCCAGACCTGCTTGTGAGCCCCAAGACATTCCGGAGGTAGAAAGCAAATGAGCCCAATTTCCACGAGCTCAGTTGCAAGGGCCAGTTAGGGCGGCCGTCGCGTAGAGCTGTCAGATGAGAATGCAGGATAAAGACCCAGAGAAGAGAGTAAACAGCCCGAAGAACAAGCCCCGGCTCAAGACAACTTGCCAGTATTTGCACCCAGGACAGATGTTTGTATTTGGGAAGGTATGGGCTCTAACTGCAACCTGCAGACCAGGCCTCTGGCCAGGCCCAGCTCCAATTTAATCTCTGGTGCGCTCACCGAAGATTAGCTTGGTAGATAAAGATGGAACTAGAAATATTTGAAGTCTGCAAACCTGTTAGGGTACTTCAGTTATGGAAAGCAAAAGCCACTGAAAATGTGAAAAGAACAAGAAAAGAGAAGAAAAACAGAAAAGTCAGAGGATCCCGATGGCCTCTACGGACTGCTTTCTAAATTCTTCCTCTTTTCAAATTCAGAGGTTTGAACATTATGAACAGTTGACTGTTTAAATCGTATAATGCAATACCTGTTCCTCTGGCTTAACGTTACAATATTTCCCACACCGCAGGATTGCTTCACATTATTCTGAGAGGCAGTGTCATTTTCCCTGCAGTGCTGGGTCTTCTTTACTGAGGCGAAGGACACTCCTACTTCCTTTAATTATATGTTTTGTTTTAAATTAATGTCCTTTATTCTGGAGATGAATCACCGGCTTGTAGACAGGTAAATGTGGGAGTAAGGGAGAGAAAATATAAGTTTGATTCTCAAGGTGGGTGTCTTTAATTAAAACGGACATCAAGATTCAGTCTTCCTTCCCAAACTTACCCTGCGATTCTAAAATCGCGGCCCCAGCGGACTCCATGTTCCCGTGCACGTATCGCACTTTCTTTCTGGCCCACTTTAAACACGGCCCCCTTTGCTTTCGGAGCACCAGTTCCCTATCACTTGTGTACCCTCAGAGTTGCACCATATCGTGTAAAGTAAATATGCTCAGACAAACTTTAAGGCCACCATCCCCATGCGAAGAGGTGGGGAGGGGAGCGCACGGGGCTTGCTCGGTTTCTGACCACGCGAAGGGAGCCTGGAGCAGCGCCGTGTCCGGCTCCAGCTCCGTTTCACCGAGTTCCCCACCCGCCGTTGTAAAGCAGTTTGGAGCACGTCTCCATGGGACAGTTCTGCCTGCCAGTGGGATTTACTTAATCAAGCACTGGCCGGAGAATAGCAGGATCTGGCTTCTATTTGCAGCTTTCTCCCTGCCTTGGCAAAAGAGCTCGGAAAAATCTCGCCTGCCTTGATTTCCCTGAGGGTAAAACGGGACCCAAGCGGGATTGGCACCCACCTCTGCACAGCACTGTCAGCCCTGCTGCACTAAGCCCTACCCGTGGATGTGAAGCACCCAGGCTGCAGCCGAGGCGGCCGCAGGGTCCCACGTCCCGCGGACCCTCCGGGGTCGAGCAGCGCTCGCCGGCGTCGCTTGCAGGCTTTGGGAGCGCTCCGCAATCCCCGCTGGGAAGCGGGGCTGGCTGCTCGCTGCCTTACCTCCGGGACTGCGAGTCCCTCCCTCGGCAGCCGGCCCGGCTCTGTTGGGGCGACTCGGTACAGTCGCACACGCACACACCCCCGGTGCCTCCTGCGGGGCCCGCGCCAGCGGTTGCGAAGCGTGCAGCGTGGCAGGCGGCCAGGCGCTGACGTTCCTGTTGCTATGGGATCCACCGCCCCTATAAATAACTGAGCGAAGGAACTTTCCTAAGTCAGAGACTTTAGGAGACGGGACCCGCAACCAGATGGTCCGGAGGCGAAACGCGGGCTCGAGCAGCAGCGGCAGGAGCAGCGGAGCCCCG